TCACTTTGACCGTAGAATATTTAATGTATTGAACGAAATATTGATTCATAAAATTTTATACGTAGAGCCATGCTGCAGTTATATTAGTAGGATAGTTGTAGCACGAATGGGTCGGCTCGACTGGGGAAGGACCACGCTCTCACAGAATACCAGCGTGAAATAGTAACTTAATGCTGCTGTGTTTCGTATGGTGAGTGTAGAAAACCGGAGACGTTTTTAACTGGAAACGAGGCATTCCATCTTAGTCCTCACGGATGACAACGCATCTGCATTTTGATTTGTAATCGAGGATAGATGTAGATGTCTATGGGCCGCAGTAACCACTCATCATTAGGTGAACTGTGTGCTCGTTTGTCACCTTATCCTATAAAAAAATAAAAAAAATAGTTCAAAATAAAATAAAATTAAGAAAAATGGCTATGAGAGAAAGAAAGAAAGAAAATGTGCGCGCGCACTGCTCTCTCTTGCTTATATTCCCCACTCAACTCCCGTTCGCCTCGCCCGATCACACACTTTTCGTAACTTTACGTAACGCATTCGCCAGCTTACTCCCCAAGTCAAGCATGCGTAAAGAAGTTTTACTTAAAAAGTCTCCATTCCCTGCAAACCTAGGCAACTATGACGAAATTCACCTCTATGAGCAGGCTGTGAATATCTTTTGCGCAGTTGATAACTTCTGTATTTGTATATCGTCGCTTTGGTCTAAATGGGCAGGAGCGCGATTATCAGTGACAGGATAATTGGTGGAAGGCACAATGAGAATTAGAGCTAGTTGTACAATAACAAAGCAAAAATATATTACCTATGCCCAACTTTAAATGTATAATGCATTGTAATAACGTCTTAATAAATTACGATAACGTCAGTTATATCTTGTATTCATATCTTTATTGTCACAATAATTTATGTCATAATATAATTAGCATAATTTTATACATCTTTTGTAAGAACTATAGATGTAAATAACGAGTAACTCGTTTTAAAGTGCAAAAAATAAATTAAATCAAAAGGAAAGTATAAAATGTATAAAACTTTAAGTGATATACCTACATAATGTTTGTTCTTTTCTCGTTTATTCGTTTCTGTTTTTTATACGTGGTAGAGTCACGCTGCAGCTATATTATGGTTTTAGCACGAATGGGTCGGCTCGACCGGGGAAGAACTACGCTCTCATAGAATACCAACGTAAAATAGCAGCTTAAAACGGCTGTGTTCCGTATGGCGAGTGTAGAGATCGGGAGACCCCTTTTTACTGAAAACGAGGCATTCCATCGTAGTCCTCAGAGCTGTCAACGAATTTACGTTTTGATTTTTAATCGATGATAAATGTAAATAGATGTCTATGGGCCACAGCATCCACTTACCATCAGGTGGACTCTGTGATCGTTTGTCAACCTTATTCTATACAAAAAATGAAATTATGAGAAAATGGTTTCTTGTGTTTACGCAAACACTACACATTAAATCAAGATTAGTTTCATTCAAATATAAGTAGGTAATATCTTTATTCTTAATGTTTTATATCATCATTATCTATGTATGATAATATGAAAAAAAGGAGAAATTGAATTTTGGCTGCTTTAAATGTATGCCACACATATGAAAAATTTTAAGCCCGAAAAAATAATTCAACAATGATTAAATTAAAGTTGACACTTGCATAAACTATAAAACAATTTAACAAGTAAATATTTACCAAAAATTTTTTTTACTGCACATCGCAACAAAACTCGCGATACCATCCATATCATCTGGATAACTAGCGATCGACCACTGTGCGATTTAAAAGAAGTTTTCTTCCTCGCAATACTTCCTTATGGAATCGACTTAGGGATCGATGTGACTTAGTGACCTTCAAGAAAAGAGCCTATTCCTTTATTAAAAGGCCGGCAACGCATCTGCAGTTACCCTGGTGTTGCATTTGTTCATGGGCTGGGGTAATCACTTACCATCAGGTGAGCCGTATACTCGTGTGCCACCTCTGCTATAAAAAAAAAAACTAAAAAGTAACGTTCTAAAACATATGAAGATTTTATTCATCAACAAAACTGAAGAGTTATAACACGTATTCAGTTTAAAAATGATGTTGCACATAATAAGAGCCATAGAAGCTTAGAGTTCAAACGCTTTCCGTAAATTTCACAGTAAGCTAGCAACCCGGTCTCGATTTCTATATGCACCATGAAGTTGAAATCAATAAAGTTTAGATGAAATTTGAAGTGCTGATTTACCTTTTTGTGCTCGACGGCGGTGGAAATCACTGGGAGGAAAGGTGAATGTTGGAGGTATAAAATATTTCAAAGACATGTGAAGACTGTCAATACGCATTGAAGTAGTGAGGCAGCCCTAATAACCCCTCAGTAACTAAAGGAGGCCTGCGCCCCGTTGTGAAATACATACATATATTCTTTTTTATATAATTGTAATTTACGTAATAATAAAAATATAGGCTTTTGATACTACTAGTACAAGACGCTAGTACATTTTTTATAGAATAACAGTGCCAAACGAACACACAGTCCACCTGATAGTAAGAGGATGCTGTGGCCTAAAAATCTACATCTATCCTCTATTAAGAATCAAAATTCAGTAGCGTTGCCACCCCTGAGGACTAAGATGGAATGCCTCGTTTCCAGTTAAAAAGATCTCCTGTTCTTTACACTCACCATACGGAACACATCAGCTATGAACTGTTACTTTACTCTGGTATTCTATGAGAGTGTGGTCATTCCCAGTCGAGCCGACCCATTCGTGCTGCAACCATAACATGCTGCAGCGTGGCTCCACAGCGTAAAGAAATGGAATCATTTCTATATAATAAAATATTTTTATTAAGCCGTCTATGAAGGAGCCCTATATTCAACGGTGGACTTTTATAGACTATAATGAATGTATTGATGTATTTAAGATTACATAAAAAAATATAATTTAATAAACGATAATCTTCAAATAATGAGTGTTAACGAAAGTTGTTGGATGTACGAACTTCATAACCATGACTCACAATAAGCGGCACTTTGCGCTTCAGTTTTCTAAGAAATAACTTTGACGTATTAATTAGTTTTCGCTTTACACGATGGATTACTGTTTACAAAAGTTTGTACCGTGGTAAAATTCTTGTATGTAAATGGAAAAAACCAACCTTTTTTTATAATTAAAAAATCTTTGGCCGATTGCGTTGGGACATGCGTAAATTTCGCTGTGCAGATTTATTTTTAATAAACGTTCACCTACGCTTAAAACTTCTCATGTATCGTAGAGGCGTTTTACGTAAATAATTTGTGTATGGACAAAAACCTGGACCCAAAATTTCGGCCATAATCATTTATTTTATTAACTTTATACGTGCGGTAATCATTGACCTATAAATACATATATTTTTACGTGGTTGAGCCATGCAGTTATATTAGTAGGTAGTATAGTTGCAGCACGAATGGGTCGGCTCGACGGGGGAAGAACCACGCTCTCACAGAATACCAGCGTGAAATAGTAAAAAAAAAAAAAAAATAGTAGCTTAATGTTGCTGTGTTTAGTATGGTGAGTTTAGAGAACCGGAGACCCCTTTTTACTGAAAACGAGGCATTCCATCTTAGTCCTCACGGGTGACAACGCATCTGCATTTTGATTCGTAATCGAGGACAGATGTAGATGTCTATGGGCCACAGCAACTACTTACCATCAGGTGGACTGTGTGCTCGTTTGTCACCCTATCCTATATTAAAAAAAATCTAAATCGATGGTGGCATTCAAACCCGTGGACCACACCGAAGCATCCCAATCTAGCCACTCCGCTGTTATGTCGCCACCTATCTCTATCATTGTTTGAACTATCTTATACGTTTCAATTCCGAATTATTTATTATAATTTTAATACCTAATAAGCATTCCGGCATAACATACTGCGGCAATATTGTTTTTAAATGCTACACACCATGTTGTAATTTGAATACATAGGTACAAACTAGCGTTTTCTTAATGCGGCATTTTATCACTTTTCTATTTCTTAAAATAAAAACGTCCAAGTGATATATGAAACAATAGCCTAGTCCCTCCTGACAATATTCTCTCTTTATTTATCAAGTTTCATTACAATTTTATAAGCCATTTCAAAAATAATAACTCAGACCATTTTAAAATTTTTATCAGTCTATTCACATCTTAATAATTTTTTTCAGACAGACAGACTCTTCAATTTTATTTATATTTATAGATTATACATTAAGAGATTTTTCCAGGTTTTAAGTATCTAATTGCATTGTTCAAAAAGTTAAGAAGTTAATTGAACAACACATTACACGCTTCTTTGAAGATTGATATCTCAAAAACTATAACTAAATGAATAAATAATTACCTAAATATAGGAGAAGTATACAATAACATATTTCGAATAGTTTTATCCTAAAATTGTTGTATTGTGTACCTGTATAGTAAAAGAATAAACCTCATTTTCAATTTTTATCTGTTGAACAACATAAACACCTACTAGACTTTTTACTTGACTATCAAAAACAATAACTTAATAGTAGGATTCAAGTTAATCAAAAGTTTGATTAACTTGAATTATTTGTTTTCATATACCTATTACAAATATCTACAGGTTGATGACGTGACTTTTATCTTTTCTTAGTATTTATTTCGATTTCTATGTTAAACATACCTAATATATAATATTTGAAATTAAGACAAGTAAGCGATTAATAAAAATACTATAAAAAAGAATTAGTTTTTACTTTAGAAAACGTCATTTTCCTTAAGAGTTTCATCAATACTACTGAAACATTTTTATGATACCTATTATATATTTAAAACATTTTTAAAATTCCGCTTTAAATCTAATATAAAAAAGAATGCGTAAAATAATTTTATTACCTGCAAAACACTTTTCTTTATTATTTATGATATTTAAAAAAAGACTAATTAATAAGCATTAGGATATGTAAAGGAGTTCTAGAGTTGTTGACTGTGGTCACTGTGACATATTAGTGTGACGTGTTAGAGAGATGCGAACACATTGGAGGGGTGTAGGGCGCGGTGGTGGCTGCCTAGTGGTGGCCGGTGGTTGGGTGCGGCTGGAGTGGTGGGTGCGGCGGGTGTGGGGGGCGCGGCGGGGGCTGGAGGGCGCGGCGGGGTGTGGGGCGGGGCGCGGCGCGGCGGGCGGGGCGCCGGCACGCCCGCGGCGACGCCGCCGCGTCTGGAGCGTCACTGCGCCCGTGAGCCCGGCGCCGCGAGCACGCAACACGTCGTCACTAGCCCGCGAGAACGCGATGCGCGCCCACGCTGTCACAAACCCGCACGAACGCGCGCACCCATCCGCCAGTGATGTTCCCGCACCGCTCTCCTGTCATGTGCCGTCGGTTCTATCGTGAACTAGTGCTCTCCCATTTGTTCCCGAAACGTTGACTGTGTGCGCCCGCGCCGACATCGCGGATTTTGTGTAGCCATCGTCGTTGGATGCGTTAAAATTTCGGGTGAGTGAGAGAGGCGAGCGGTCGTGCGCCTGCGGCTGGTTTGACCGCATTATTTTCGAAATACGTACGCCATGATCCGGTCGACCGCGCTAGAGCGATCAAAACATTATAACAACAAAATACGCATTCGTCAACGCTGAACCTGTATTCGGTTCCACTTAGAGTTTCTTGTGATAAAATAATCTCGACAGGTTTCTGTCATCTACACAGATTAAACTTTCATGAAGTGCATCACTGCCGCATCGTTCGTTGTAGGGAACGATGTCGATCCATCACCTGTCCACTTGTAGAGGTCTTAGCAGCAAGTCGTAAATGCATCCCGTTGATGTCTTTTACTTAACGCTTGCTTTGGAAAGTGCTTAAAGATAACTGCAGTGTATTGATGTTTGTATTATACTTTATACTGTGTTACGAATATTTAATACGAGAGTTGGTTGTTAATAATTTGTTTATGAGAGTGAACTGATAAGAGGCTGGCCTATACGTGATAGTTTGCAAAGCGTAAAAGTTCGGAATGCGAAATGTTTTGATTCAGTACGTTACCAATCAAATCAAGCTTTCTACGTAAGTTCAATGAAAGATTCTCTTGTAGTTTTATGTATAAAGTAAGGACACTAACAGCTGACTTTTGTAATGTTACCATACATTATTGTCAACTAAATATTATAAAAGAATAGAATTAACATATTGCTAGAAACACTGTTATGAATACAAATCGTCTAATGAATACAAATACAGCATTTGGTTACATATATTATCCTATACTTTATGAGTGTGTGCGTTAAACTGCGTTTTGTGTGAGAAATTACCATTTCTGCTTAGAAACTTATGATTAGAATTTACGACACATCTAAATATTTCTTGACATCAAAGTTCATTGTCTGTTTCACGTGAAGACATAAACCTCAGTGATAATTTTCTAAACATAATATACAAAAACACGGCAAGAAACCGTTAGATTTTGTAGTAGATATTGAAATAATAAAACTTTCACGTATAGGTTAAGGTACGAGTGGCTGTGTACGATTTACCATAACAATGCGTACGCAATGTGAGTCCAGCTGTTTACCTTGGCTTTGTGAAAATCGGATTAAGCTCAATGATGTAACCCGTTGACCGATAGGAACCTGTCTTAGTACGAAATTTGGATAAGCACTCGGTAGTTTTTCCGTTATAAGTAGACAAACATGCGAAATTTGTTCAGATGTATTTAGTTGGTCGGACCGAAAGGAGCGACTATTGAAAATAGTTTTCAAGCTACATTGCAGCAACATTGCTCTTATATTTTAAATACATAAAAGAACACGTCTTATTTAAAGGTAATTTAGTCCTACTTATAGGATTGAAATATCTAACTTTCTTCAGTTCATTTAATGTTTTGTTGTAGGTATACATTCATGTTTATTGCTTACGCTTTTCAAAACTTAATTGCGTAGGTATTTATTCTGAATATGGCAATTTTAATAAATACAAATTTTGAAATAAAATCCCAGACTCATTTTTACAAAATATAGGAACACCTAATAGATGTTTAGGATATCACGCTTTCAATTAATTATTTTATTAAATCATTTGCGTCATTATTAATTATTTTTACTACCTTAAAGTTATATCATCTTTTAATTTACTCTACTTCCTTTTTAAAATGTTTGCTATAGCTATTTACTAAGAATCATCTTTTTTCTTTTTGTTTAATCAATGTTAAGTACCAATACAGTGCATAGTATTTATTTATATGGAATAACATATCTTGAATCGTATATTTTTCTCCGGTTACTTTTATCGTATCTTTTAGTAAAGCGATTTTAATCATAAACTCAATGATCAATACACGCGGTACAATAAAGTGCACTCGCATAAGTAACAAGCGTAAATTACAATGTGGGTTAGTGCGTTCATTAGAACTGGCGAGATAAAGTAACTGCCGGTCGCGTACAATGTCAACCTTTGTTGTGTTGTTGCTATTTAGAAATGCTATGTCGATTCGTATCCTGGAAATTACATACGCTTAATTTTAATTAACCTGTATAATTACTTACGTCCTTATTAAGAGAGAGGCTAAACTATAGGTGTTTTGGCTTTACAATGCTTTGATTATTTTTAAATAAAATTTAGTGTTGTTACTTTTACTTTTATGAATTTATAGGTAATTGAATGTTAGGTCTATGAGTTTAAGCCATAAATATTTAGATATTTAAAAAAATCTACCACAATCAAAAGCGCAAACAATCTCAAAAATGATGGGAGGCCTGTGCCCAGCAGTGGGACGTATATAGGCTGTAACTTTACTTTTACTCTAACTTTTTATTTAAAAAAATCCACCACAATCAAAAGCGCATGCTATTATCTACATAGGTTTACAAAGAAATGTTAAGCATAGTTCAGGAGCTGTAACAATTTAAATCAGATTTTCGTGTAATGATGTTTTTATTTGAACAAATTTTTGTTGTTGCAGGTGGGTCGAGGAGAATTATGCGTGGGGCGTGCGCGTGCGCGGTGGTGTGCGCACTGGTGGCGCTGTGCTGTGCGCTGGAGCCGGAGGCGCGCGCCGCGGCCGAGCGGCAGCTGCTGGCGCTGCTGGGGCTCCCGCGCCGGCCTGCGCGCCGCGGCCTCGCGCCGCCGCCCGTGCCCCGCGCCATGCGCCTGCTCTACGACTCGGATGGCGCACTACCCGCTGCCGCCGCCAACACCGCTCGATCGTTCCACCATACACCCACCGAGCTCGACGACCGGTTTCCCGGCGATCACCGTTTTCGACTCTACTTCAACGTGAGCGGCGTCCCCACGGATGAGATCGCCCGCGGAGCAGACCTCACGCTCCAACGTGCTCCTAACATTACCGGTGCTCAACGCCTCCTCCTATACGACATAGTCCGACCCGGACGTCGTGGTCGCACGGATCCTATTCTGCGACTCTTAGACTCCGTTCCGTTGAGAGCGGGTGATGATGTGGTGAAAGCCGATGCGCTAAGCGCTGCCCGCCGGTGGCTACAGGAGCCACGACACAATCACGGATTGTTAATAAGAATTATAGATGAGGAAGAACGAGGCGCAGATGCGCGAACCCCTCATGTAAGGGTGCGAAGACGAGTGACGGAGGAAGATGATGAGTGGCGTGCACTACAGCCGCTACTCCTGTTGTATACGGAGGATGCTCGTGCGAGAGCAGCGCGAGAGAGAGGTGAGACGAGACTCACGAGAAACAAGCGTGCGACGCAAAGAAGAGGCCATCGTGCGCATCATAGGCGTAAGGAAGCACGCGAGATTTGCCAGAGGCGGCCACTTTTCGTCGATTTCGCCGACGTCGGCTGGAGCGACTGGATAGTCGCGCCACACGGCTACGACGCATACTATTGCCAAGGTGATTGCCCGTTTCCTCTCGCCGATCACCTCAACGGTACGAATCATGCGATAGTGCAGACACTTGTGAACTCAGTGAACCCGGCAGCAGTGCCCAAAGCGTGTTGTGTACCAACACAGCTTTCACCAATATCTATGTTATATATGGACGAAGTGAACAATGTGGTGCTTAAAAACTATCAAGACATGATGGTCGTTGGATGCGGTTGCCGATGACGAAGGCGCCGCTTCTGACCTGGTGCGGACCTAGTGATAAATCGTGGACCCAGTGTACATATAGTAGTGGCCTCGAAATTTGTACATATAATTATCTGTATATACTTATGTAATTATTATTTTATTGAAACGATGATGATATAATAAAAGATATAATTTTCTATGAAGTGGATTAATTTTCTATTGTAACAGTAACCCTTTCGAAATTGAACTTTATGGTCAGTTCGCAACATCATAAATTAAAATCATCATACTCTGTATACTCAGATTACAAAAATTACTATATTTATATTTTGAAAACAATTCTGTTTGTACTAGTCGTAAAAGTATTAAAAAAAGTTAAACTTATGTCTAAAAGTGTAGGTTTAATAACGAGTGAAATTAGATTTTTTAGTTTAATACAGCTTAAACTAAACAGCCTACTACAAACAAAATGAGCACCTTCGCCTTATAAAGCAACTATATGAACCTAAATGTTTTATAATTTCATTATATCATTTATTCTGTATTTTCAATATGAGAGAATACAGCAATTTTTGGCACTGAAATAAATAAAAATGTAAATTAATGTAAAATGTATTTTTTTATCATTCAGATGTTATTTAAAAAAACTGTTAAACCGATTTCATGACACCGACACGATTTCAGTTTGTAATACCTACATACCTACAAAGATTATTTTTTATTCATAACAATATGGGTATAGCAGTCCCCTACTCAAATTTTGAAGGTCAAGATCTTAGACTAAATATCTGGCTAGGGTTGTCTACAGCACAAGTTTTCATACCGTTACGTTGTTAATTTATTGGCAGACGTTTATTCATTTAATTTATTGCATCTTTTTGAATTACGATTATTTTTTAAGTAGATCTTGTCCAACACTGTCACCTATTATAAACACCTTATAAAATAATACTAGAAAAATATATTTAAAATATATTATATAATTACGTTGTCTTTGTTTTAATTCTGTATTCGTCTATCATTTCCAGTAAAAGAAATTTAATTGAAAAATATTATATATTAAATATTATATGACTAAAAGCATAGAGTAAAAAATACTACGGCAAAATATAAAAACCGTATATTTAAGCTCATTAAGAAAGGTCTATTAATTTTTCTTATATAAGCATTATGATTCAAACATATATTGTGTTAAAAAACCTATACATATTGAGATGATATCTGATTGTATGATTGTTCATTCATTATTTTATAAATTAGTTTCAATGTTTAAAATATCCACAATACCGAAGACAGACACAAGAGAGTAAATTCATCGCATTTAAATAAACATATATAATATGTACACATATAAAACTTGTTTTAATAATTTTTATATATTCCTAATTACCGTTACAGCTGCAGCCTATACACTATAAAGTCCACTGCTGAACATAGGCCTCCCCCACAGGTTGTCTCATAGGGGGAATATATTCTATAGTTGCCAAGCTTGGCAAGCGGGTTGGCAAACGCAGTTTTTATTTTTAATCGTTTTAAGGAAGACGCTTCTGCCCATCTCTTGATATGTTTACCTCTATCTCTTCTTACTTACTTTTACTTTTATGAGTATATGTATAATACCCACGGGATTATATGGGGTAGTGGATATTCGTCTCCACTTATTTATTATACTATATACTATATCATATTCTTAATTATTCAAAGAATAGTATTCAAAGTAATTGATAATATTTTTAATTAAAAAAAATTACCACGACATTTTATTAATGTCTAGTCATAACACGGTTTATTTAAGGCATTCTACAAATCGCGCTAGTTTTATTTGTTAAGCTTTCAATCGATATCTAAATATCACGCAATCACTTATAAAGTCATCCATGAAGAATGTCTGCGGTAATATTCGAAGTAATTCCATTCAGAGTGTGGCAGGTCTCCAAATTTCAAATATTTCGTCACAAGGCAGCTATATATCATGTTTTTGCCGGGACGTAGGAATGCCCGCCTGTATAATTTGGCCGGCCACCCGGCAACTCAGCGTCTGCCGCGCCCGCCGCCCTACGTCTATATTATCAGTAGATAAATTTTAGCTTTGTCTTTACCTCGTATTTCGTCCTCTCGAGGTTTTGCTTTTGTTTTTTTTTTCGATGTGGACGGCTACAAAAAACTGAGTGGAGGCGAACGAAGTGGGTATAATTTATTTTATAGTCGGCTCGCTCGTAACTCGGCGGTGGACGGCTGGACGCCGATTTATCCCCATCTCGGTGTAATTAACGTAAATGGATTGGCCAGAGTCGGTGCCTGAGAGTGTTCACCCGCCTTGCGCCCTCTTAGCGCTTTACGTCGACTGTCCCGTAGAGTCTAATGCAGCATTATTTTAAAAGTCAATTCTCGACAAACATCACTGTATAGTGTGCAGTGTTATCCAATTAAAGGGTCATTTTTTCCAAACCGCAAGACAAATAAGATACGAGTATAAAGAGAGTGGTTCGTGATTACACTCGGTTCTCAAGGAGTGCGACGATTTATCCCTCAGGGAATTATAATTGTTTTGCATTCTTGCACGGGTATAAAAACAAAAGGGCAAGGTATAGGCCCCCCGCATTGTTGCCCTACAGACCAGACCAAAGTCTGACGACTGGCATTCTCTTCAGAAAAAAGCTTCGAATGAATCGACGAAGGTAGAGTTTTGTCTCTAGGTCACTACTCTTCCCGTCGTTTGTGGTTAGTTAATTTAGTAAAAAATGATTTCGTACATAAAAAAGTTTGAATACTTCATATCGTATTTTGAAAAAAAAATTCAAGTATAATATTATGCTAGGTGTGAGTGACCGATATTTATAAAAATCATACATTTTTATAATGTATTTATTGATCTGGGAACGGCTTATCGATGTTTTATTACCATTAAACAAATGAACACAAAGAGATAGTGTATGATAACTTGACAACAGTTTATCGTATAGTGCATAATGAAGTGTTACTCGCATAATATTTGTAGCATGAGGTCCGGGTGCGGGGAGTCTCCGGCGGCCATCGACCGCGGGTCTCCTCTCCAAATATTCGAAGAATGCACAAATTAAACTGGTTTTCATTTCTCTTAATATTACTTTATTACTTTTGCATAAAATAATGAATTTTAAGTACTTCTTAGGAATCTCACGATAAATATGATGATACACGACAGTATCTACAATTAAAATTTCTGGAACAAATAACTTGATGTGTATAAAATTTACACATTTCGTCCAACAGCTACTTTTGCATTTATAAAGAGCGGAACGAAAAACTAAATGCACTCTTTCACCCGTAGAGATTTTTAAATCTATTCTAGATTTACTTTTTTAAACGTAAACATTACGGTTAAATGTATTAGATCGAAAGGCAAAGAGTATGTATGTTGAAAAATAATGTAGGCAAATTTATGCATATTCAAACATATCGATAAAAAGTGTAACTTTAAAGAACGGAAATAGTAAGTAAGAAAGAGAGGAATATTTGTTCGTAGCAGCAATACCATACAACACACTCAATAAATGCTGCAGCAACGGAACGGTCACCGACTTAGCATAAGCTTACAGGAAAAATTCCTAGGCACTCTTATTCTTAGGCTAAAACTCTCGAGCAGTCATGGGGCATATATACGAGATACAGGACTTACTTATATATTAACGTTGGCTTAAAATAAAAACAGACATATTGAACCACACACGGATTAAAGTAAAAAAAGAAGAAAAGTTTAATGTAATGTAAAGTCTTGTGTTTGTGTCATATACTATTACATAAAGATACAGAGGTGTAAAACAGGAGAGAGGTGTAAGAGGCTGACGGACTTTTTATTCCCGAAACTCTTCACCGCTGCATTGGAAACGTTTACAGTATTAACTTTATTATATATTAATTAAGGACATCATTGGAAACAAGATTATACAACCAGTGTGTGTCGCCAGTGATGACCAATGGATGAGAGATGTGGTTGATCAGTTCTGGTCGTATGAGGAAGCTCAAGGTCCCTGAACGAGCTATGTAGAGGGTTATGCTCGGGGTTTCTCGGCGTGATAAACTTAGAAATGAGGATACCCGCAGTAGAAACTCAGTAAACAACATAGCCCAATGAATTAGTACGCTAAAATAGCAATGCGCAGGCCATATAGCTCGTATAATCAACAATTGATGGGGAAAAAGGTTCTCGAGTGGCAACGTCGTACCGGTAGACGAAGTGTAGGGTGGCCCCCCACTAGATGGAGTGACTACTTGGTAGGATATGCAGGAAGTCGATGGGTGCAGGTAGCTGAGGACCGTGCTGTGTGGCATGACTGTAATGATGATGATGGCATAAAAATTCAAAACTGAATATTTCCAAAATTTTGAATTGGAACATGGCCAGCGATATCCGAACCAGAGATTTGGATGAGCAAATGTTTAAACATTTAATGGATTCTTTTATCAGCCTTTTTCGTGCTCAGAAAAGCATTATTATCCTTGCAGAACATCATTGACTCCATAAAAGAATGTGGGTGAATAGGTACATAAGTAATCAAATACGGAAAACCGGACTATAAAATATGTCATTGAGTGCAAATGTACGGAAAGATTGCAAAATTATTGTTTACGTGATATAAATAAACAAATGAGTATTCATACCATACACATAATATTGCTATGTTTCGTATGGTGAGTGTAGAGAACCGGAGACCCTTTTTACTGGAAACGAGGCATTCCATCTTAGTCCTCACGAGTGACAACGCATCTGCATTTTGATTCTTAATCGAAGATAAATGTAGATGTCATGGGCCACAGCATCCACTTACCATCCGGTGGACTGCGTGCTCGTTTGTCACCCTTATCATAGTTCTGTGCCCTTATGTTATAAAAAATGTCCCGCAGTAAACTATTATGGGCTAATAACGAATAAAAGAAGATGCAATAATTGAAATCAGTTACTAATTACAGTCAAATACTATAACTATCCTTTAAAATCTTTACATAATAAATCTGTAAAGATTTCTGTAAAGAATTTACTAAAGCTTTATAAGGCT